GCAGGGAGTCTGCTTCTCCCTCTGACCCTCCCCCCTCTCATGCTCTCTCTCTCATTCTCTCTCTCAAATAAATAAATAAAATCTTTAAAAAAAAAGGTAGCAATTTATTTTATCATCATCCAGGCAGGACACATCAGAGGAGGATACTTATGGAGGCAATTAAGAGGCATTTGATAAAATTAATTTCATATTATTTTAGGTTCACATCTTTTTACCTTAATACTCACAGTGGCTGATTGGAAATCTGAAAGCTAGGTGACTAATAATGGTATTTGGTAATGGGTACGAAGTTTGATATGGAGACTGATATTTGGCACCGTACGTGAAGAACTGTGATAAGCAAAAGGTGGATTTGTCCAAAAATTTTAAAGCCTTTTCAAGTATTACTTTAAAAAATTTCCCTGTGAACTGGGTGCTATATGTAAGTGATGAGTCACTGAATTCTACTCCTGAAACCAGTATTACACTAGATGTTAACTAAAATTTAAATGAAAACTTGAAACAGACAAGCAAAAACAACCAAAATTTCCCTGTGAGTTGAAGTAATGCTATATAACAAAGGGTTTTATTATTGCTTTCACATAAGTTACTATTGTGACATTTGCTTTATAACAAGTATATAATTAGTTTTGCAGAATTACTGTAAACAAAAATTAAATAGAACTCATGTCTACAGCTACCAAAAAGCTAGCTTGTTGCAGCTGATGAAATAATTTCCATGAAGATACTGAATATTTATATTATATAAAATGCCATAATGAGTTTGTGGTGTGAACAGATGTTTTTGTTTTTTGTTTTTCACTTCAAGATCGAATTATAGATTCTCGTCACCTGTTAGACTGAACTTGCTATTTTTTCAATGGATTATTTTCAGTTTTAAATTGATGGAAAAGTTATAAGTGTGTCAATACACTGTTTCAGAAACGGTGTGATTGCACAGAAGACAGAGCATGGACTTTGGGCTCAGGAGTAATTCTCTCAAATATTGGCTTTCTCACTTACTGGTTATATGATGTTAGACAAAGTATATAACCTGTCTGAGCCTTAGCTCCCTTAGCTGTAAAATGAGAACAATTACACTAACTTTCCTTCCCCCTCACCCTCCCTCTGGGGCTCCTCTAATTCAGTGGTTTGCTTAGTACCAGTTCCTGATGGCCATTTGTAACTTCATAGCATAACAATTTGATTTCATACTAACACTGTGAGTAACGGAAAAGGAGATAACACAGACAATTTCCTTATCTCCTTTTCTTATTCAATCCGTCTTTCCCTCAAACTTAAAATCTCTTTGCTTCAAGGAGAATCCAAAATCAGTTCATTGCACCAGTTCTTTCTTTCTAGACTATTAGTTACTGAAATTGAAGTGACTTACTTTTTATGTCCATCTCATGAACAGAAACTGAATGGAAGCAGTAGTAGTTCCTCTGAAGGCAGCACTGTAGACATTGGGGCACCTGCCGAAGAGCAGCCTGTGGTGGAACCTGAGGAAACCCTTGAACCTGAAGCCTGTTTCACTGAAGGTAAGAAAATGACCTCTATGTTAATCTTCCATTTAGAGAGTGCAGTTTTTTTTGTTTTGTTTTGTTTTGTTTTAGTTGTTGATCACCCAAGATGGACCGTTCATAATAGAATAGAAACTTTAGTAGATCTATTTCAATTCCCTCCAATATGCTAACAGTTTTAAAATCTATTGTTATTTTTGGTGAATTCTGCCCATTATGTGTAAAAGATCACAAACATGGAGAAAACTATTTTTAACGTAATCAAAACTAGTAATTTATATTTTTTAAATAAAATGGTGATTTCACAAGGAGTGGCATCTTAAACAGTAATCAAAATTCTCATACACAGAATTTGCCTTAAGAATAACTTTCTGACTACTAAAGTTAAATGACTTGCAAATGCTAAACTGTGATTTTTTAACAAAATCATCATTTTCCAAAGCTTACTGGACAAAGCAGGAAATAAGCACAGCCCATATCCGATACCTGAACGGTACCTAGTTGAGCCTGGTACAATATGGACAACAGTTTTAAGAGCTTTGTTTTTCCCATGACTAGCATTTCCCATGGTCTGATTTTCCCGAGAATTTGACTTTTGAAGATATGAATATATTTGCATATTCTCTATTTAGTGATCTCTTCTTCATAGACCAGATAAATATTGTTTCCATTTCCCAATATAAATTCCACACATCACTCAAAGTCCTTCTCAAAACTACCTTCATCTGACCATGGTGGAAAAGAGCTTATTATTCCTTATTATGCCTCTCCACAGCTATTAATAAATATACCCATTTAATTCATCTGATAACTTTTGTATATTATCTTATGAGAGCTCTTCTCTTTCTGTTTTGAACTGTTGTATGTATCTTTACTGTCTTTTTCTCTCCATCCCTTCCTTCCTTCCCTTCCTCTCTTTTCTTCCAGCACACTTGACTTTTTCTTTTTCCTCTTTTGTTTTTGTTTTTTTGGGGTGGGGGCAGAGTTTGTTTTTTTGTTCTGTTTTGCCTTGAGGTGAGTTTCCCGAGTTTATATCTTTTCTTGAAAACAAGAATGTAAGGTTCTTGGTGGCAAGGTCCATGTGCTGTACCTTTTTTTTTTTTTTGCCTTTTTTAAAAAAATGTTATTTGTATCTTCCATGGTGCTTACAAAGGTAATCACAGATAGTTTGAGTGAGTAAAACACTATAAGGAAGGCATGACAAATCAAAGCAGCGCCAAGCAATCATATTTTAATGGACTAAATTAATTTTGAAAATTATATGAGCTTTTCTAGAAACACCACAAGAAAACAAAGCAGTAACAAACCCAGCATTATTGGGGGAGTTCTACATTATTATTCCATAACCTCTTTAAAAGGGAAGTTCTCTATTTATCACTAATCCTCATTTTGAACTCCTCTACTAGAGTGACTTCAACAGAGTGCAATAGAATGACATAGTACAAGGCAAAGCTATTTTACACTTGTTTGTACTTTACAAAGTTCTTTCTTGGACAATAAGAGTTGAGGCAGAAAAAGCAGGTATTATTAGCCAGGGAACTGTTTAAGGAGACTGAATAATTTTCACAGCTTCACACAGCTAATGAATGTGCTCTTACTACTCCAGGCTTAGAGAGTTAACCTAGCAAGATGGAGATGGTAATTGTAGTGAGAAGATGAATCAGGGACATGCTAAGGAATATTACTAAAGCCACAGAAGTTACTTCATCTACTCCTGTTTGAACATTATACTTGCAGGCTGTGTACAAAGATTTAAATGTTGTCAAATCAGTGTGGACGAAGGGAGGGGAAAACAATGGTGGAACCTGAGAAGAACGTGTTTCCGAATAGTTGAACATAATTGGTTTGAGACCTTCATTGTCTTTATGATTCTCCTTAGTAGTGGTGCACTGGTAAGTGAATATTAAGCAAAAGTGGTACAATATTAAGTTTAAGATAATCTAATACTGATGACTTATTAATCATTTCTAATGCACTGTTACAGTAGCCAATGCATTTTTTTCCCCAACCCTCATCCTGCATCCATTTTCATTTTCATAGTGTCAGCCATTACCTCTGTTTGATAAATCTCAAACTGTTATCTTTACTTAGGACTTCTTCCTTGAATATATATACATCTCTATATCCAACCATCCATCCATCCATCCATCCATCCATTCACTTACCTCCTGTCCACCCACCCACCCACTTTTCTACCTGTCTCTAACACATTTTTCATTACCCCACATCCTATCTTCCAGATTATAGACTTAATGTTTTAACTATGCATTTCTGGATTTATTTCTACTACATATACATACAATTTCTAATAAATTATTGATTAACTTTTGCTTACTAGTAAGTAACCTAGAAAATTTGTCTCTCCGGCTTATTATAACCAAGGAATACAAATACTCAGTTGCTCATATTTTAACAAGAAGGTAAGCATGGCAACTCAGTGTAGTTAATGGAAGTCCTGTGATGGAGAATATATAACTATTCTGATGAATATTGCCTCTGAATGGTATTATTATTATCTCTTTATGGACAGTCAGTAAGTCCTTAGGGACCACTTCTCTGTCCCTTTTAAATTGTGTCCACTATTCTTATGCTACTCAGGAAACAATGAATATTGGTAACAAAAAATATTGGGCAGCATGCCTAAGTGATTCATTTAAAGATTGCTTTCTCTTTATACGAAGATGGTTTTTACATCAAATTAATTTATATTTGTATGAAAATCACTTACGAAAATATAAAGCATAACATATAGATGACATTTTAGGGAAACACTGGCACAAATAGAATACTTAAGTCATAAAGTAGATAGATGACAGATAAAATGAGCTTGTCTGATTGAAATATAATCACTTAAGTTTCTTTAACTTACATTTATAATTAGGACATAAGCCTATATTTTCCTCCATATTTCTCTGATTACATAAACTTTGTCTGCATGCCACTTTATACAAGAAATAGTCTTTTGCCCCTGAAACAAATGTGAGACTTAGGTGAAAAGGATAGAGGTTCATATTAGAAGCACACATATCATGATCTAAAATGAAATATATCTTCATCTTATCATCATTGTCATACCATATCTCTACTGAGAAATATAAATGATCAACAAAATGAAGGGGAGAGAGGGGGACAAATGAGCCCAACTATGTAGTAAAATTGGGCGATGTGATGATCAATTACAATTTCTGCTTTATGAAAAATATAAACCTCCACTTTTTATTTCTTCAACCTCCTTTTTATGGCAAAAAAAAAAATCAACGGGAGAAAGCAAAAGAAATGGAACAAAAGGAATAAATAACTTCAAGTTGGGGTAGCACCATCAGGATATGACATCAAGAATTGTTTCCTAAACAAGTCAAATTAAATCATGAGAATTATGCTTTTACCTCTTTCTTCCGACTATAATATCAATAGAGAGTATAACTTTCCCCTGATTCATTAAAAGACCTTTGAGAGTAAAAAAATTTTAAAAACAGCAATAACTGCTACTCCTCTACCCTCTTACTCCAATGAGATGTCATACCTATATATATATATATTATATATAAAATCAGGGAAAGCATATATATATGTTTCTGATCATATGTATATATATATGATCAGAAAAATAGCTTAGAAGGTATAATAGTTTTAGAAAGCTAAAATATATAACTTTTCTTTATAGGCATTTGAAGATATATATATTGATCAGCGAAAGACAATTAAGACAATGTTGGAATATGCTGACAAGGTTTTCACTTACATTTTCATCCTGGAAATGCTTCTAAAATGGGTGGCATATGGCTATCAAACATATTTCACCAATGCCTGGTGTTGGCTGGACTTCTTAATTGTGGATGTAGGTATCCTCTGTATCTTTGTCTTTACATTCACAGTAGTTTGTCTGACCCATATACTAATTCTAGAACAGTGAATCTGACCAGTATGCTGTGTTGACCTACTAGACACTAAGCTAATTTGCTGAATGATAGTGTTGTAGTAAGAAATAGGCTTAGTACTGGTTTAGCACTGGGGGGATGGGATCTATGGTGGTTGTCTAGGATAAGAAGAAAAACAACACAGCAGTTTGTAGGGAAAGTGGTGAAATAGGGTATGTGGCTTAAATTCCTTATATTGTGAGTCAGACGGACTTGCGTTTAAATCCCGTCCCATTGCGGAGGGGTCGTGTGCCAGTGAGTAAATTACTTGGCTCTTGACTCTTGAAACGATAATAACAGTAGGGACAGTGATGACGGTGGGAGCTACCGTCAATTTTTAAAAATTCTCTTTGATATACTCAAAGTTTTTCAAGGGGAGGTTTAAAGAGTAGATTATATAGATTATACTCCGTTAGAGGCAGTAAAGCGTACAGAGTGTAGGGAAAACCTCTGCTTCATGCAGCAGCAGGAGCTTCCCCTAGGATGTTGACTCAATTCGCGGCAAGCCTGTAACACGCCAAACAGCCCTTCTCAGAAATTCCATGCCCAATGATTAATAATACTTCATCTCCCCTAAAACAGGTGACTGCCTCTGAGATTTATTAAACAAAATGTTTCATGCTATCAATTTGGCATAATTTCAGCTTCAGAAAAGTATGTCCAAAATATCGCAGATTTCATAGGCAACAGTTTTATCCCCAAAAGATAATAGATAATAATCCAGCAGGACTACGCAGGTTTATTGTGGAAAGTACTTCTAGAGCTAAGAGTCATGCATATGTTACATCTCCTGAATTGTGAACAAAGGCAAAGCCGGAGCTATTTAAAGCTTAATAATGTTACTATGAAATGAGTAAATTGAGAAAAACCTCAAAAGAATAATTGCTTCATCATTACAAAAGAAAAAAAATTCTAACATTGAGGTTTCATTAGAAGTTATATCATATTTCAACTCCTCATAATTTTTCACACTACATTTTAAATCTAAATATAATTTAACTCTTGAAACTCTGTGAGTTTTGCTTTTCTCTATTACGCTTATTACATGTCTGAAATTTCAGGGAAAGAATGATGATTTTATTATTATAAGTTGGATTTTTTTTAATTACTAGATTACAAGCACTTTATTTTTTACTTATTTTTTATTGAAGTATAGTTGACATGCAATGTTACATTAGTTTCAGGTATACAACATAGTAAATTTAATTGCCTGAAATATATTAAGAAAATAATTCTATAGAGATTTTGTCATTTTGCAATAATAATATTTTATTTTTCATTGTTCTATTTTAATTATTTCATAAGGATCAGTGTATCTCTCTAAAAAATGCAAAAAAAATTATAGCACGTTGCAAGTAATATAAAAAGTATATTTAAATATAAGGCAACTTAATACACTGAAAAATAGAAAATTTTGCAAAAATAGTGTCCAGTGTATGTGAAACTGTCCGATATTAGTCACTTTCAAACCAAAGAAATTATAATTCTGGATATGGAATTTTGGTATATTTTTTATTTAGAGAATAGACACCTAACATTTTTATTTCTTAGTACTCTCATATTTCATACAAATTAAGTAAATTCATTGATTTATTTACTTGGCAAATATTTGTTGATTATCCATTTTCAGCCAGGTAACCATGGCAGAAGCTATAAGTTAGTATAGAAAAATTTGAGGAAGTTTTATGATGGAATTATTTATTAAGTTACATTGTTTACGCAAGAATAAACTTTAGAGAAAACACAGGTGTTAGCAAGACAAACAAAAAACTCACCTTCAAAAATCAACTGCAAAATCAATGTGCCAAGTTATTAATTTTTGAGAGTATCAATTATAATTAGTTGAACATACAATGCAGGATTACAATTTCTTGCTTTTGTATTTTATCACTGGCCATACAAAGCCCTAAATTCACCACAACTTAATAAAATAAAAGAAGGATGACCAATGACCTTTTCTTACACCTGAATTTCTTCCTTTTTTAAATTAATTTTTATCTAGTTTTTTTAACTAATTGCTCTACTAATAAATTAGTTTAACAATTAATAAATTATATGACATTTAAGGTTTTTTTATTCAACTACCTTTAATTAACATCCTGAAAACACTTTTTTTGCATCAAGCTAAAAATACTTCCTTAAAATTTTAAAAGCTTTATGGGAAATATGCAACCATTGATCTTCTGAGTAATTATAAGCAAAAATCATACTTATTATATAGTAAATTGAATCATGATTTTATTTCCTTATTTATTGGTGCAGGTTTCATTGGTCAGTTTAACAGCAAATGCCTTGGGTTACTCAGAACTTGGCGCCATCAAATCTCTCAGGACACTAAGAGCTCTGAGACCTCTGAGAGCCTTATCACGATTTGAAGGGATGAGGGTAAGGAAAATGAAAGAACGTGAAGTATTACATATAATAAAAATTAAATTAATTACATTAAATTCTATAAAGGAAAACCCATGCATGCAAAAGGAATGGCAAATCCTTGCAAAATTGCTACTTTATCATTTTATCTGTTGCATATTTACTTCTGGGTGATATGCAAGAGAACTTAGGCCTCCCTTGAAATGATATAATATCATTTATCTGCTGTGCTCATTAAAATGACTTTATTTCCTAATCCATCTTGGGAGTTTCCTTACAAACCTGTATACAAAAAGAAGCAAATGCACTATTAAAGTACTATGTGTAATGATATGATAATAATCCACTGAAGTCTACGTTATATGCTTCTCATTTGTGATGACCTAAATTGTACTTAATGAGTTTTATCAAAAATAATGTGAATCACACATGTGCCTAAGTATAAAAGTAAAGGAAAACCATTTTGAAGTGTCAAAATTTTGTCTGTATAATGCCAAAGTTTGCATTATTTGAATATATTTAAGGGTAGCTATTAAATATTGACTGAATTTTAAACTTTTTTTTAAAAGTTATGTTTAATATAACCTCAATTTATAACTGCATTAATCTTTTTAATTGATATAAATAGTAATACTAACTTAAAGATTATATGTAAATCCACACAATTTTTCATGACAATAAATAAAGCATTTATAATATAATGAATAGAAAATATAATTTTGACTCATTACCACAGATGATTCATAAATTAAGCATAACTCAAATTTCACTTGAGGTACAGAAAATGTTACACTATTCCTTTCAAGGAAATATTCTACCATTCCTTCTGATTCATTACAGATTAGAAATGTTGCCATTATTGACCTATTATTGTCCATGCCTTGTTAAAATTCATGAAGCATTGATATATAAGATGTATAAAATAAAAAAGTAGTTCCTTTTTTAAAAAAAAGTCGAATTTTCTTTTACCAAAACAAAGCTGCTTAATAAGTGTGATACCAGTAGAAAAACATTGCTTTTTTTTTCCTGCCTAGGGTTTAGTTGTTTATGGAGATTGAGCTGTATTGAAGACTTCCAATTACATCTTCTAGTTTGTTGATAGCCTTGCGTGTTCTTTTAAAATAAGATTTATTATAAATATCACTTTTTAAGAACATGAGACTTGTCTTTAATTTCCCTAACATATGTAGAAAGTTTTTTCATCACTAGAAACAATTTAACACAATATAATACAGTCTTATTTTATTTCTCACAGAGATCTTCACATTTTTACTAAAATGTTAAAGGAAATTCTCTCCAGGGTATGTAAAAATTAAGTTTATTTTCCAATTAAAATGTCACTTTCTTTTGTTTCAGACTGGCCATTTCAGTTCTTGAGAAAAATATTATTTTTATACATTCTACTTGAAAACATATTGCCTGAATCCAAGTAATACCTTTTAAATGTCTTCTGAAATCCGAACAATGCTAAGTATTTGAAGCTGTTATAAACATTTCGAATTTAATCTTTTGAAAATGTACTAAATCCATGATTCAAGTGGCCAGATAGTCCCATGTTTAACACTTTATTTCCATAACAACATTGGTCTTGTGGGTCTACCTTTGATTTTTACAGAAATAACCTTATCTGTAATTATTAATCAATAATACTTTCTGTATTATAAGGAGAGGTTAACGTTTGCACCTGAGGATTTTAAAAACATAAACTTATTGGTGCTGATAGGAGATGAACTCATCTTTAAGTTAGAGGGTTTATGAATATGGTTACTTGCCTCTGCGACAGCATGTACACAACCCTAAAATGGCTGATCATTTCAACATGTGTTTGGCATTGTAGAGACAAAATAACCTGATTCTTGATTCTATTTTTTTTGTTTCTAGTGTTTGGATTTTTTTTTCTTTTTTTTTTTTACTTTCTAAAAAATGTAAACATGGATGACGGTGAGGATAGAGATAATAATGATGAATATAATTGGGAAGTGATATTTGAATATATTCAGAAACTCTCATTTTATTCTTTTCCCTCCCTAGCAGCATAAAATAACAATAGCTTTGTCAGGGTGTAAATCAAGCACTCATTTTATTTTTGTTGACTTGTCATTTTTTCAAGCATGTGCTTTTATGCAACATTACCAAATAAAGCATGTTGTATTTAGTGCTTGATAAGAAGTTAGAAAGTAATAAATTATCATCACGTTGCACTTTATGTTTTGCATGTTTTATGCACATTTCTGGCTGACAGCTTTTAAACATTTATTGTATTTCAAATTTCCAGTCCAAATTTTTCAACTTGTAAAATTGAACTGAGTGAATTGATGTCGTGAATATCTAGAGTAAAATAAAATTTGTACTTAAATTTGTATTTTTACTTTCCTAATCTAAGAAATCTTAGATATCTTCTTTTTCAAAAGAACTCAAGTCTTGATTGATAGGGAAACAGAGACCATCATATACATAAAGTAACACCAAATGTTCTGTCATAACAGATTTCTAACTAATAACAAACTATATATTTCTATTTTATATAGGATAATCTTGCTCCAACTTGGATGGGGTGGAGCGCTGGTTCCTCCCCTCAGCCCTTTATTATGGGTACTGTATTACCCCTTTTGCTACCTTTCATCCTTTCACTGTGCCTTTGTGTAGTGGGATGAGGGAGGGGTTGGGAAGGGTCCTATCACACCACAGTAGGGAAAATACACTATATTCTAATCCCCTATTTTCAATTGTCTTAAATTTTCTTTTGAGAAAAATACCTTTGTGAATTTACCCTCTGTGGATTTGGACACCAACTGTTGATATCTTTATTAAGTTTCACTGAATATGATTTAGTTTTGTATATATGGAGTTTATCCATTTATGGGGAGATTATCTGATCGGTGAGGGTGGGGGTTTAGAATGAATGCGTGAAAACTTTAACTTGTCAATTGATGATGCTGTTTGAAGCATAAAAACCCTTGCCATTTTTTTACACTGGTCTGGGTCCTGAAAACGGCCCTCCAGATACCAGCATTCGATTCCCTGCCTTGTTGGTATGTGTGAGAAGATGCTAGGGTTCAATATTCCAGCTTTCATAAGGCTGGTATTGATGATGTGACCATATTCATTTTTATTAAGTGAAAAGTTATGAGGGTTATTTTCAAAATGTAATGAGACAAAAATATATTAAGAGTTGAGTCAGCCCACGTGATTTGTGTTTTAAATGGGGAAAAGTTAATGTAAAGAGATCCGCATATTTGAATTATACAGACTAGAATACCTACATAGAAATAAAACAGAAATGTCTTATCATATGTATCAAGTAGAATTTAATGCATAAACTCACTTCTTGGCATAAATCACTCCCAAATAACTTTTTAGGATCTTAGAAGATGTCACAATGAAAACATAAATTGAATCTATAAATATGAATCTATAAAAATGAATCTATATTTTGTTTATTCTTGAAGTTTAAAAATAATGTAGAAGAAGGAGAGTTTTTATTTTTGAGAGAGATGAAGTTGGAGATTTGGTTGGATAATTGTATCATGTCTTTCTAAGATGATTATCTTAATTAAAGCCCACAACACAAATGTAGTCATTAGATTTAAAAAAAGATTCCATTATTCTTCTTCATACTTAAAAATGTGTGATTTTATTTTGCCTGCTTTTGATTTTTATTCATGTAGTTTTTGTATTTACATTAAAGAAGCATTAGAATCCATGAGTAGTAGTATTTGAAGTTCAGAGATAATTTGTTCAGACAAGACATTTCTACATGTATCAAAATTCTTAACATTAATTTGTATACTTGTCAATCCTTCATTTTGTGTTGATTTAATAAAAATGCAGATAATGAACCAGATACAGAAAGAGTTTTTTATAAGAATGGATTGTGCTAGAATAGAGAAATTCAATTGATGACGTTTTGCAAAACATTTGTGAGAAGAAGCAATCTCTAGTATTAATTTATTAAGACGGTTCCTTCCTTAGACATCTTCTTTTATGCATCCTGAAACTTCAATCTGTTCTTTCCAATTTATTCAGGCCATTTCTGCCCAGTGCCTTCACCTCTTGGGAACCAATTGCTGCAGTTCCCTAGAGCCTGAAAAGAATTAATACACCTCCCTCTGTGCTGAACCAAGAAATGGCATGGGGCTCTTGGGAAGGGACAATCCTTTCTCTGACCTTTATTGCTTAATTTAATGAAATTTTAAATATGCTGGACCTTTGTATAGTAACTTTCCCAATACTATGCCAAATGTTTTCCAACATTTAGTTCTTTTATCTTCATAAAAATAAACCTTTTCTCTGGACCCAATGTAGGCCAATGTTGCAAATCATTTCCTGAAAGATGCTGCCTCAGAGTACTTGCTTGCATCATGAATTACAGAGAGTTCATTTTAACACAAAACTAATTCCCAGTTTCAAAGCAAACCTCTCAAACTTATTGGCTAACCCGTAATTTTTTGTTGTGCCCGGCTCTTTATTCTCATCTCATATACAAAGTAACATTAAAAATTCTGCTTTCATCAGTAAATGCTAAGCTCATCTTCACTCATTCATTCAACCATTTTTTCCCTATATTCAAAGTACCCTGTTATATTCCCATATTCGAAGCATTCAAGACCTTGGAGAATTCACAAGTATATTTTTGCATCTTAAGTTAGAAAAAGAAAAAGTCTCTTGTCTGTCAAGATTACAGGAATGCAATTAACTCGAAGCCAGAGCAATGTGGAACCAGATAAATGGAAGCAAATCTAAGGAGAATGAGTGAGGTAGAATGGAACGAGCAAGCACTAGATGATACTTCTAGTCTACTTTCTGAACTTAATCTATCTTAGCTCATTTTTCTCATTGCCAACAGAGAACACCATACTAAATTATCTCTATGGTCCTGGCCAGAACTGGAATTCTGAGTCTTAAATTCAAAAGAGGAAACGCTCATCTTTATTTTAGAAGCTAACATGGAGGGTGAAGTGAGGCTCCATGAAAGAAGTGCTACGTGAACTAGACCTTGTAGAAGAAAGAATGTTCCAGAAAGGGGGATACTGGGCAAGGGATTTCAAAGGCATCTCAGTTGTCTGGTAATTGTATCACTTGGGTTGGCATGAGGGTAGGTGGCTAGGGAAGTTTAAACTAGAAATGTACATTGTGGGGTGATTTGAATACCAACATAAGGAAAATATTTGATGATCAGTGGGGATCCGTTAATTTTAAAGTGAGACTTAGGGAGGATAAATTCATATCACATAGATGAAAGGAAGGAGAAAGTTAGAGGACTCTGACAATAGTGCCCGTATGAATTATTAGAGGCCAGAGCTAGGATGAACAGTGAAAGCGGGAAAGAAGTGACAGAGGTGAGAAAGGGCTTGAAGAAAGAAGTGTGGGACCTACAGATCGACATGAAAAGAACTTCAGGAAATAGGTATAGGTCACCAGTATTCTACCCAGGCTCTATATTGGCTGTTGTAGGTAAAAATGTGCGTTCTAACGTGTACTCTGTGTATACACAATAAAAATAAGGTGTTTTTATTTTTATTTTTTAATCTGGATGGTAGGCAAAATATTCAGAAAAGGAGGGAAATAACTAACTTGATTCCAAGTATCAAATTTTGAATCCAAGAGAAATCTAAGTGTATCCACACATTTAAAATGAAGTATAAAATAAGGATTTATTTGATCAACTGTATTACTGCAGACAGACAAAAGAGATAAGGTAAGGTGCCATGTTTCAGTTTGGTAGACAGCAGAGGCTATATCACCTGGATCTGCCTGGATGACTCCACCAACCTAAATGTTATGCTATTTCCTTACCTTTGCCAACAGTGGTTTTACTGTTTCCTTAGGCCCACTTAGCACACTGTTTTTGGAACCCCAGAAGGTCTAGGGTTCTTTGCAAACTTTAAACACAGCTCAGAAGCATAAGGAATTGGCTCATGTATTTGTTTTTTTCAGACAGGCAATCAAAAAACTTTGCTCTAAAAATACACTGGCATCAAATTGCAGATAGAAGATATTTTGATGCTTATTATTTACGATTGACAAGAATAACAGAAGTACATAGGTAGAAGTAACTTAGTTATCAATGTTCAAGTCTGAGGCATCCTCTGCCACTTATGAGCATCTTAGGGCCTACCTTTGTCTTCCCTCTTAGCTACTCCCATGCAGCTCCAATGGGCACTGTCAAGGAGCGAGCAAGGACAGCCATCCCTACAGTGTTGCCAAATATGAAAACTCAGATCTTTTCATCTGGGATCCAAAAATTAAGATAAGAGGGAAAAAAAAACATACTCCCATAGAAAAAGAATAGATCATTATTTAGTACAGAATTTGATGTTAATCACATCAGATTTGGGACCTATATATGGCATCCCTCCTTTTCTTCTTTTCCTAAGAAACCAATTTCTATTATGTTTCATTTAAAATAAGTTTATTGAATTAAACTCAGTAAATGAAACAACTGACATGACTGGAGCTTGAAATAAACGATGTGATGATCTAATGAAATACATAATGCTAAATTGTCTTGCTTCTTATGCAAAACTTATTATTAGTCTTAGCAATGCATGAATAATTAAGGACAAGACTATAGTAGGCATTTATCAATATTTTTATATTTATATATCTGAATTTTTAATTTATTAAAATATATTGGCCAAACCAACTTGTGTCCAATATTTTAGTTTCATTATTTAATATATTGCCTTTTTTAAAATTAATCTTCTGTATTAGGTTTCCTACTTCTCTTTTTTCTAATAAACAACAAATATTCTAATTTCATCTGGCAGCAAATTCCTCTGATTTTGCCTTTCCTTTAACCTTTTGGTACTTCCCCCTCTTTTTTAAACTTTTTTTTCTTGTTTCTTTTTTATATCGTCTGTATTTGTTTCCCTGAATGTATTGCTTAAGAACAAATGGATTTCATTTTAAGATTTTTTTACTTTGCTTTTAAGTGTCCTAGAATAGTCTCGATACTAAATAAATAAATAAATAAAAATAAAAGAAAAAGAAATACTAAAGATTACTAGGGGAATGTCTTTTCCTTTTTAACAAACAAGAATTCTGACTTTTCTTTTTTTCCATTTGTGTATTAGGTGGTTGTGAATGCCCTTTTAGGAGCAATTCCATCCATCATGAATGTGCTTCTGGTTTGTCTTATATTCTGGCTAATTTTCAGCATCATGGGCGTAAATTTGTTTGCTGGCAAATTCTACCACTGTATTAACACCACAACTGGTGACATGTTTGACATCACCGAAGTGAATAATCATTCTGATTGCCTAGAACTAATAGAAAGAAATGAGACTGCCCGATGGAAAAATGTGAAAGTAAACTTTGATAATGTAGGATTTGGGTATCTCTCTTTGCTTCAAGTTGTAAGTGAACACTCTTTTCTCTGAAATTTGTTTATTGTTTGGAATAATAACAAAGTAATGACGTACATCTAAGTTACTAAGAAAAGAGTTTAGTTATTACAAAGAAAGTTTATAACATACTTTATTTCTAATTTTGATTTATGAGTACAAGCGTATGAGCCCTGATGGGTGGCACCTTGGGTCCTTGTAAATGCAGTGCAGACATAATTGATAGTGACGAGCTATTTCAGTTCTTCCCAAAGGTTTTATTCTCTTCCTGCTCATATTGCCCTCTCTTCCCATATGAACAAGTTGGTTAATCATTAAGTTTGCTATTATTTTTCCTATTGCAACTGGAAAGCTTTTTTCGCTGATGGATCACACTCCCCAAACATACACACTTCACACACCTGATTGGATTCTAACTGATAGGTGGCAATTAACTGCTACTGAGTTGTATGATTTGAATTGAAGATCAGGGAAGGAATGATATTTAGGTTTTAGGGTTAGATCCTCATAGTAAAATGGAAATAATACAGGGTAGTACCTGAACACAGAAATGAAATACAAGCAGCTGTGGTCTCACTATAAAATGGCCTTTCAGTGCAACTATTTAAGTCTGTTTTATCTAAATATTCATGCTTCTTACTACTGGGTTTCTAAGCCTGATTTACACAAGAGAAAAATAGTTCACAGTGTATGAAAACGCAAAAGGTGGTAGCCCTTTAAGGATTTGCATTTGATGCTGCTTTTGGCAGGAACTGCCTCTCAACAAAGCAATGGCTAAAAACAGAATCTAGATTGTTTGAAAAACACAGAAAGATCCTGCTCTATTTTGGCCCCTGAAAACTCAGCTTAAAAAAAAGGCTATAAAAGTTCTTTCCTTGTGTTTCAACAGAGGCTTTAGAGCAGAAATCCATTTCTACTCACCAGGATTATGTTTTTAATTGCTCAGCCAGGAGACTAACCAAGCAAACAAACCTGCACTGGTCAAAACCCCCTTGTACTATGATACCTTTACACGTTCTTCCCATCTTCTTGTTGGAATTCCTCTTTCTCTTCTAGATGTTTCTGACTTACTCTGAATGTTTATGCAATTAAAATAGGGATTTCAAAAATCTGGCAAGTATGAATTCTTTAAATATTATAGTGGACACACGATGACATTTTCTTGAGAGTTTATCCTAACCCTTCATTAATAACCACACTTGTAAATATCACTAAAGTATATCACTTCCTCCATAAAATTGAGAAAAAAAAAGATTTTCAAGCTAAAAATGCTAAATAATTCTGGAATTGTAGGGTAAAGCTCTTGCATGAAGCCATTAAATAAATTCCACCACTGAAGAAACTCTAAAGTACTACTTTATAGTTGGCTTTATACAGAATCACCTCTGTTGATGAGCAACTCACTGAAATGTTTCCTTGAATCACTTTCTATTCCTATACCTAGTGTGTAATGGACTTGTTCTCAGCCATTGACATTCAACATTTCCCTCTCTGACATACAAACAGCTTCTGTTTTATAGCTAAGAATCATTAGTTTCTCCTCACTGCCATCACACGCACCCTTCCTTGGCTTTCTTCCCATACATCGCCACTTCACAAGTGTTAGTGTTATGAAAACAAAGATGTGTTGGGATACAGTTGCCGAAAGCTTTGCTAGACTTGTTTACTGCCTAAGAACAATCCTCTCAGGCTTCCAGGGTTAAAATGTATGTCCTATGACAAATAATAAATTACTATAAGTTATTAGACTTAGGATCTATCTTGAATCTGGAACATCAAGTGTCTACTGTATTTTTTTCCATTTTTGCCCATATTAACTCACTTTCATTAAAAACTACAGAGGAAAAAAATAGAATAAAGGACTATTTCTGGATGCTATGCTTCAAAATTCTTAAAAGAATTGTTGCAATTGTGACTTTATATAATCCCATATGATCCTCAGAGTGTTATGATCAGGAGAAATGTTAAACTTTCAGTCAGTGTCATCACCTGGCCGATAGATTTCAGCGGAGGATTGGAGATCTAAATTGTAATTGTTTTGTTGCCACACATATTGTCAAGTGTGTTGGCATTTGTGAAGCTTTCTAAAAGTATTCCACCAAATTTCTACTTCAAATTAGCATTATTCCATTAACTCTAAGGAATTGAGAAGTATTTATGAGTTGGTTATCAAGCAGGAGGATATTTCAAATAACCATTTTGTTTATTATGTGTTTTAGAAATGAAAAGCCATACTAAGATATGGTATTTGTCCAAAATCCATGTAAAATTTGTTTTGAAATGTCTTTCAAAAGTGTTCCTTTTAAAAAAATAGATAAGTAAGAATATTTATTAAACATCAAGTCTGAATTATTCCAAAGTAAAGCATGCATGTCCTTTTTAATAGGCCACATTTAAGGGATGGATGGATATAATGTATGCAGCAGTTGACTCCAGAAATGTAAGTATTCCTTATATCCTGCCCTTTTATAATATTGGTTAGGTACCAAAATTAATTCAACAGAGCATAGCAGCCAAATGGGATGATTCTATGATGACTATTTTTAAAAAGGAAAAAATATGACTCAAATTAATATTCAAGTATAACAGTGTTTATCAGAAAGATCTTACTAAAATAAATCAAAACAAATTCTTTTGATAAGTGACGAATATCCTTCTGTTGAATATTTTTCTATTTTGCTTTCTTTTTATCTACTAATTATATAATCAACAATAGCTTTGGTGTGTAGGAGCAAATGTGAAAAAATATATGATTGCTATCAGTAGTTGAAATGTATAGTTAATTCTCCATAAGTAGACAATGTGAAAAGTTAGGGATGTTGTCCACACAGCCTTAGATTTCTATAATAATCCCTTTCAAATTCATTTTTTTTACATGATTTTAGCATCCACAAATGTACTGGAGCCTTTACCAATGATGTTATCACTTCAGTGGTCAACATTTCCTTTAAGTTTGTATCACCAAGGGAAAGACCTACTTTATTTGGTTTCTCCTATAATAGCCTCTTCCAGGTTTCAAAGAGAGAATTGAAATCCATGCTTATTCCAACTCTGCTCTTCAAAACTTTGTAAAAATTTAGTATGTTTTATTAGTCTTCATCATTCTGTTCCAAAATCCAATCTGTTTAGTCTGTTATCACAAAAAATAATTTCTGTCTTTGTAATCTTTAACTGACCCGATAGAGCTCACTTATCTTTTTTGGTGTACACTTTCCGTAAGTGGCTTTAGTTTTATGTTGAGTACCCTCCTGATAGCCTCCAGAGTTATGTTATTTCATTTGTTACCACAATTTTGTTTTGTGTGTTTGGTTGGTTTTAACTCTGTTATCTTTAGAAGGACATGAATTTTTAGGGAACTACCTATCGTGACTCATTTACCCTTTATTATGTGATATGTGGTAGCTTACTGAAAACATACTGTAAGTACAATCCAAAGACTAAATTATCAATTGAGGATTCATAAGATGGGTGTCCAGTTATGTTTACTTAATCTAAAAAATTCAATGACTATTGTAATGTTAAAGGTATGATGCTGAACATCTAAATGAATAACTCAATTCTCGTTTGCCAAATAAATTCATGCATACACAAATGGTTGTGTCTAAGATAGTCTATACATATTTTCTGAAATAAAATTTTTCACTAATAATTTTTAAATTATTGAAATTCAGTACTAAAAATATTTACCAAATTTACCACTCTACTATCTGAATAGCAAGATACTAGTTATATTTATAATTACAAAAATAGATTCTAAAGTGTTCTAATAATTACATTTTTTTACATGAAAATACCTCTAAAGGCTAATTTCAGAGGCTTTGTAGCTGATTCAGAGGGAAAAAGAAAAGTACTGCTAAGTATTACTAGGCATTTTCTTTTCATATTCTCGCAAAAGAGCACCAACGACTTCCAGCAACAAATTGTATTGTGATATTTTACAAACTCTTCTCCTTTGGTAGGTGGAACTCCAGCCTAAGTATGAGGAAAGTCTATACATGTATCTTTACTTTGTTATTTTCATCATCTTTGGGTCCTTCTTCACCTTGAACCTGTTTATTGGTGTCATCATAGATAATTTCAACCAGCAAAAAAAGAAGATAAGTATTTCTAATATTTTCTCTCCCACTAAGATCGTAAAATTATTTGAAATGTTTTCTCCCCTAAATGAGTACTTTGATTCAGAAGCCAAGTGAGCATATATTTTAAAATCTATTTTGCATCCTTCCCTTCTGCCACCCACTGCCCATCTCTTTCAGACTATAGAAAGTCAAGAACAACTGTGCTCCATATTCCTGTACAGAACTTCACAAAACCTCTCCTCTTTTTTTTTTTTTTTTAGAGCCAGGGGCCACATTTTCAATCCTTTGGAAAAGAATAATTTTTTTAATAGTAAAAAAAAAAACTAGAAAAGAACCCAAGCATATGCCCCTTTTCCAAGGTCAACTTGTTTTATCCCTGTAATTCCCCTCCTAAAACTATACATTCTAGTGGAAACCCTTAGAATGTCTGCAATAAATTAAGCCTAAGACATAAGCTTCTCCTAGTGTTTCTTTTCCTTCATTGGTTCCTTGTATAATTTCCACTTCCTTCTCCCTGATATTTAATTATAAACTATTAGTTCCAGGTTGAATCGAATAGCTCTTTATTTTATTATTATCATTTATAAAGCCCATTTTATCATCCTAATTATATCTGCACAATATGGAAAATATGAAAAGTAAAGAAATATCATTACTTGGGAATAATGTACACTTTTATGCTTTTCTGTTCACATTTTATGCTTTTCTGTTCATACTCTTTCTACATATGTTTTTAGTATCAAAATTATTTTATCTATAATTATAAATTCTTGGGGCACCTGAGTGGCTCAGTCAGTTAGGCCTCTGACTCTTGATCTCAGGATCATGAGTTCAAGCCCAGTGTTGGGCTCGATGTTGAGCTCACGCTGAGCGTGGAGACTACTAACAAAACAAAAAAAAAGGTGTTGCATATAATTACAAATTCTCTTTTTGACTTAACGTAAGTATTTTTCCATTCTGTTAAGTCTTTGTATATACATTAACGTAATTTACCTAACCATCTCCCAACAAATTGATGATTTATGTTGTTTCTAATCTTTAATGATTTAACTAGTGTCTTGTCAAAAGTCTTAATAAAAAAAAATGAGTCTTTAATTATTTTCTTGACTAATTTCTGAAGTATTTTGCTTCCCCCAAATAATATGCTTGATCATACTCATAATCATACTCATAATAACATCCGTACAGATGTGCCCAGGTCACTGCTAATTTACAGGCATCAAACATTCTATTTTTTAATACTTCATATCTGATAAATGAAAATTTGCTTTTAATTTTAATTTTTATGTCTTTTATTGCTAGTAGGTTTAAACATATTTTTTAGTGCTTTTTGCCATTTTTATTTCTTCCTTTGCATACTATTCCTTCATCTTATTTATTTAGTATATTTTCTTATTATGAGTGCTTCTGTTGTATGAGATGCTTATAGAACATTCCTGTCCCCATCCCCTTTTATTGTTATTAATATTCTATGGTCAATGTCAGGCTTTTATTTCACTTATTAGCCTGAGTTGCAATCCTCTGTATCTCCCGGCCTATCACATCCTTGCCATACTAATGATCTCTGATGTATCCCCAACTCTTCTACCAACTTAGCCCATTTCCTTTTTATCCATTTGTTCCAATTCTTGGCAGAGTGAAAGTGGCTTTTTATGAGTAACTTTAACCCATCTTGCAATATACATACTATAATGCACTGCTACACTGGAGTAAGAAAATCATTGTCTTTAACTTCTGAAAAGCAGTATGTATAGCGTTAGGAACTGAGCATTTCATTTCTCAGTGAATCAAATTTTACCACTCACTGAGTATATGGTGTTGGGGAAAATATTTAGCCTCTCAGTTTCTGGGTTTTTTTCTGCCATAAAATAATAATGAAAATAATAAAGTCAATTTTGGATAATTAGAGAATTAAATAATATTGTAGTACCTAAAAAATAGATTTCTAATTTTTCAAATTCAAAATTCTAAGCATAATTATATTATCCATTTCCTTTTTTAACTGTCCCTTTCCTGTTTTAAGTTTAACATTGAGAAATCATGTGCAAAAGGACACAGTTTTAACCAGTTTTTTATTTTTCTTTTCTATACTTTGGAGGCCAAGACATCTTTATGACAGAAGAACAGAAGAAATACTATAATGCAATGAAAAAATTAGGATCGAAAAAGCCACAAAAGCCTATACCTCGACCAGGAGTAAGAAATACCAAATGATATGGGAAAAAATAAACAAAAACAAAAAATTGCATGGGTTTTCTCTCAGAAGAGATAGCAACTAACATTTCCAGCAGCAAAAATTAGAGCTTCATTAATTAATACCTTTTATGGTAATGGTAAAAAATTTTTAAAAAGGGAGAGACCACCAAAAAAAAGAAGAAACAGAAAAATGCACCCTATTTTCAGGGGATTTCTAATTACACAACTAGGATCCAAACTAAATGGCAAAGACACATAAGTAGGTGATATGTACACGAAAAAGTTGATCATATAATTCAAGAGTAGTTGCCAAGTAACCTTAAAGAGAGGAGTAAACCTTGGATGGGGTTAAAATGCACGCAATTTTCTGCTTGATTAACAAACTGACAGTGTTGAGTGAAATAACATCTTACTTCCATTTTATTTTCCATTAGAGGTACTGAGTGGGGAACAAAAGAATTCTAGTATCTACTGTTCGTATATATGGCTGTAAAGTTAGAAGTTACTAATGTCTTCAGAAGTCAGGGTCAATAAATACAATTCATGATGATAAATAACAATTCTCATGTTTCCGTGATGAACCAACCCAACAACTCAGTGAAATGGAGAAGGCTAATCCCACACTGTATTGATTTTTGTGATGATGATCTGGGAATTTAAAATAATTCCTGGGGTACATTACGGAACAAAATAGTAGTGAACATTCATATTGTGCTAGCCGACAGTTGCCTTCTTGAAAATGATGAGAAATACATACTGTTCTCTGGTAAGCCTTAACACTGGAAGTAGAAATGGTGAACTATGTGTAGGAAAATGTAAGCTAGAAGATATCTTCAGAGTTCCTGAGTGGCCTTGGAAAATGAGCCAGACAATGGCCTGCAGGGACTAAAAGTGGCAGAAATGGGGAGCAGAGCCACAGATCATTGACAAAGACATAATTTTTGACATCAAAGAATAAGGAATGTCATTCTGGTCTGATTATTCCTGTGTAGGCTCAGCATTCCGTGTCAAGCAGCAAGGACTGTTTGGTGAAAGAACATCAATATTGCCATACATAGGCTTTAAATGCATAATGTTATAAATGTGTTCTTGAAATTCCAAGCTCCCCTTAACAAATCTTTGAGAATAAGACAGATGGAATGTTAATAGATATTATGTTTTGAAATGGCTGCATGGTCCAACTGATCATGGGATATTCTGGTAAAACAAAATTAAGCAGGTTTCTTAACTTCTCATAATCTTAATATGTTAATATGCATTTTGTGCCTCTGAGTGAAGTGTATAGTATGCAATGTTTCTTATCAGAAATCCCCTTTTGACAAGGATTGTTATTCTGTGGAATACATATTGGTAAATAGAAATTTCGATAGCTAAGTTTTAGAAATTAATGTGTAAGCCATCTTTTACAAAATTCAGTGTCAGTGGTTACTATGTGTGATATCAGAAAGTTAATCAATGCAGAAAGTGCTTATGCAGATGCTATTATGTACAGGAAAACTCCTTTGTTGCTGAAAGCATTTCTGTTTCCCTACAGAACAAATTTCAAGGAATGGTCTTTGACTTTGTAACCAGACAAGTTTTTGACATAAGCATCATGATTCTTATCTGTCTCAACATGGTCACAATGATGGTAGAAACAGATGACCAGAGTGAATATGTGACTAGCATTTTGTCACGCATCAACCTGGTGTTTATTGTGTTGTTCACTGGAGAGTGTGTGCTGAAGCTCATCTCCCTCCGCCATTATTATTTTACCATAGGCTGGAATATTTTTGATTTTGTGGTTGTCATTCTCTCCATTGTGGGTAAGAAGTATTTAAAATCTCTTAAGTTCTGTTTAAGAAAAGTAAAAGTTGGAACATTCAAGTTTAAATTAGAGGTCATGCCACCACTCAGAAATAACTCCTCTGAAATTTTTTATGTATTTCATCCAGGTGTGTTTATTTTTCTTACAAAATGAGGCTCCTACTATATGTACAGAATTGTATCCTAGCCTAACCATTTTAGATTATGGTGAATCTAATGGTAAATTCCCATTCATTTGAACTAGGAATGTGCTATTAACTAAGATAAAAATGTTTGTGACATGTCGAGATTGAGTAATTTGTATAACATCTAAATGCTCTGTTGAGAAGAGAACTAGAAATTGGGTCTGGTACTTGAGAGAGACACTACATTGGATATACAGACATAGAGCCATCAGGATATAGATAGGAGTGGAAGCTGGTGGCAAGATAAAGAAAGGCATAGAGTGAAAGAAAATAAAGATAAGAACAAAATGTTAGCAAATACAGATGGTAGTTTCTTTAAGGGTATCAGGTAGAGATTTTCTAGGTAACTTTGAAATAGGGTTATAGCAATGATGCACGAGAGGATGTGAGCTGGTATAGGACATCATTTTATCAGTCATACACTTCAAAGTCAGGAATGTACAACATATCACATGAGCAATAGCTCATCTCATTAAAGATACAACTCTAGCTCCAGGGAAGTGATGAAGTCTATCTGGGGGCCTGAAGTATTCATTCTTCCCTAAACCAGATAATATGATTGGGCCAACACCTTACCATTCAATATGGGGCACCTCTGTTGGGTAGATTTTCATTCCATTACCGCCTCTGAAGAAGTTGGTCTTATATCTAACCCATATGTTGCAGGTCGCCTTTGATTTCCACACCAATCTATGGTGTAATCAATTGTGGAAAGGGTACTAAGGTTGTATTCACCTCTCTTCTCTCTCTTACTCCATCTTCCTCTTTCTCTCCCTCTCTCACACACCCACACATACTTAGACTAACTTACTCTTTATAGAATGAGACAGTGTAACTTGAAAGCACTTGGTTTCCTGAACTCCTCTTCAGTTCAATCATTATTTCATCATTTAAAAGGCAATTGGAGAAAAAGGCTTAAAAGAAACAGGCTGAGAGACTAACATTAGACACAGGAGACCAGTAAGAGCTTCAGCTAGGATCCTTTTAGAAATGTACCAGAGTGTGTGTGTGTGTATATATATATAATGGAAGTTTAGGCAAGTATCAGGTTCATGGAGAGATGAAAATAGCATTAAAAATTGCAGATACTTTTAGATGGATAAGGATTCAATAGGCAATTTCAGAAAAAAAAATGTATTCATGTAAGTGTGTACTTATACCCTTGGCCACTGCTGTTCAGACAGACTTCATAATTTTTAACTTATTTATTTTAGATTTAGTCTTGGGATTTTGTATAAGCTAAAGGTAGTCTTTAGACATCCCTCAAAGACAAAAAGTATTGTAAAATTGTTATTGAATATTGTCTGAGCTTGGAGAGACATAACAAATTACCACAGACTGGGTGGCTTAAACAACAGAAATTTATTTTCTCACACTTCTGGAGGCTAGAAGTCTAAGATCAAGCTGCCAGCATGGTGGGTTTCTGGTGCGAGCTCTCCTCCTGGCTGGTAGATGGCTACCTTCTCACTATGTCCTCATATGGCAGGGAGAGAGAAAGTTCTCCAGTGTTTCTTCTCATAAGGGAACTAATCCTATCATGAAAGCCCCATTCTCATGACCTCATCTAAACCTAATTATCTCCTCAAAACCCTATCTCCAAATACCAGGCATTGGAGAGTTAGGGCTTAAATTCATATAATTCATATGTTAAATAATTCATATGTTAAAACATGAATTGGGAGGGGCAGTGAGGAAGAAGGGACACAATTTAGTCTATAACAAATACCGAGTTGAGTTTAATATGGAATATCAAAATTAAGGTTTATTTATAATATATATTATATACAGTTATATATATTACATGCATGTCATATTTAAGGTTATGTAACTGAATTTCAGTCTCTAAACTTTACCTTGGAGACTTAACAGAACTGTAATTGTTATTTTAATGGATAACTTCTTTAATGGTTGATATTCTCATTTTTTATCCATAGGCATGTTTCTGGCTGAGCTGATAGAAAAATACTTTGTGTCCCCTACCCTGTTCCGAGTGATCCGTCTCGCCAGGATTGGTCGAATCTTGCGTCTGATCAAAGGGGCCAAGGGGATCCGCACGCTGCTCTTTGCCCTGATGATGTCCCTTCCTGCCTTGTTTAACATCGGCCTCCTGCTCTTCCTGGTCATGTTCATCTACGCCATCTTTGGAATGTCCAACTTTGCCTATGTCAAAAAGGAAGCTGGAATTAATGACATGTTCAACTTTGAGACCTTTGGCAACAGCATGATCTGCCTGTTCCAAATTACCACCTCTGCTGGCTGGGACGGATTGCTAGCACCTATTCTTAACAGTAAGCCCCCTGATTGTGATCCTAATAAAGTTAACCCTGGAAGCTCAGTTAAGGGAGATTGTGGAAACCCCTCTGTGGGGATTTTCTTTTTTGTCAGTTACATCATCATATCATTTCTGGTTGTGGTGAACATGTACATTGCTGTCATCCTGGAGAACTTCAGTGTTGCTACCGAGGAAAGTGCAGAGCCCCTGAGTGAGGATGACTTTGAGATGTTCTACGAGGTTTGGGAGAAGTTTGATCCTGATGCCACCCAGTTTATGGAATTTGAAAAACTATCTCAGTTTGCCGCTGCTCTCGAACCCCCCCTCAATTTGCCACAACCGAACAAACTCCAGCTCATTGCCATGGATTTGCCTATGGTCAGTGGTGACCGAATCCACTGTCTTGACATCTTATTTGCTTTTACAAAGCGGGTTCTGGGAGAGAGTGGAGAGATGGATGCTCTCCGAATACAGATGGAAGAGCGATTCATGGCTTCCAACCCATCAAAGGTCTCTTATCAGCCAATAACTACGACTTTAAAACGGAAACAAGAGGAGGTGTCTGCCGTGATTATTCAGCGTGCTTACAGGCGCCACCTTCTAAAGCGAACTGTAAAACAAGCTTCATTTACGTATAATAAAAATAAAATCAAAGGTGGGGCTAATCTTCTTGTAAAAGAAGACCTGATAATTGACAGAATAAACGAAAACTCGATTACGGAAAAAACTGAACTGACCATGTCCACAGCAGCTTGTCCACCTTCCTATGATCGGGTAACAAAGCCAATCGTGGAAAAACATGAGCAAGAAGGCAAAGATGAAAAAGGCAAAGGGAAATAAATGAAAATAAATAAGAATAATTGGGTGACAAATTGTTTACAGCCTGTGAAGGTGATGTATTTTTGTCAACAGGACTCCTTTGGGAGGTCAATGCCAAACTGACTGTTTTTACACAAATCTACTTAAGGTCTGTGCCTACAATAAGACAGTGACCCCTTGTCAGAAAACTGTAACTCTGTGTAAAGGGAAGACGACCTCGACAGGAGGTTACTGTTCTCACTACCAGCTGACACTGCTGAAGATAAGAGACAAAATGGCTACTCAGACTGTAAGGACCAGTTCAAAGGGGTGCAAACCTATAATTTGTGGGTTGTTTAACATGAAACACTTTAGTGTAGTAATTGTATCCACTCTTTGCATTTCAACTGCCACATTTGTCACATTTTTACAAAATCTGTTAGGGGATTCATCTTTTTTTTAATCCATATGTTGTTTATTATATGTGACTATTTTTGTAAATGGGGTTTCTGTTGTGAAATAGACAAAGGGCCTCTTCAATTGTTAGCGCAATCACACGGCCTCCCATCTGCACAAAGGTGTGGTGTGCATGAGGGCATGCTGCACTTAGAGATCATGCATGAAAAAACAAGTCACAAGGAAAACAATGAGTTCTTAAATTCCATCCATGTTTCTGGGAGGGGTAATTGGGTGATAATTGGAGGTGCTTTGCTGATCTTGTTTTGTCAAATCCAGCCCCCAGACCAAGTAGATCATTTCTGGGGGGTAGGCCATTAAATCTTAGCAGGTGCAAACTTCCTTCAACTGTCTGGAGTCATAAATGTTGTGTTTCCGTTTATTGTATTTAAAAACAAAACAAAACAAAACTGAGAAATGAGCATTGTTTCTCCCCTGAAGACTGACCAAAAGAACCCTTTATAAATTTCTGCTTAATCCTGCACTTTGGTTAGCCATCTTCAGCTCAGCAAGGTTGACAACTGTGTATGTTAATGAAATGCTATTTATTATGTAAATAGTCATTTTACCCTGTGGTGCACGTTTGGGCAAACAAATAATGACCTAAGCACAGTATTTATTGCGTCAAATATGTACCACAAGAAATGTAGAGTGCAAGCTTTACACAGGTAATATAATGTATTCTGTACCATTATAGATAATCTGGACGCTACCAGTGCATGTTTATATTACCATGCTGCTGTATCTGCTTTCTCCCACTGCTCAGAATCTCATTTATGAGAAACCATATGTCAGTGGTAAAGTCAAGGAAATTGTTCAACGGATCTCATTTCTTTAAGCCATTAAGCAATAGTTTGCAGCACTTTAACAGCTTTTTGGTTATTTTTAAATTTTAAGTGAATAACATATGGTGTATAGCCAGACTGTACAGACATGTTTAAAACAACAACAACAACAAACACTGCTTAACCTGTTAAAAAATGTGTTTAGGATTTTATAAGCAAATATAAATACTGTACAAAGTCATTTTATTTTGTTTTTCAGCATTATGTACATAAATATAAAGAGGAAATTATCTTCGGGTTGATACCACAAGCACTTTTCTTACTTTCTGTCCATAGTACTTTTTCATGGAAGACATTTGCTAAATAAGAAAAGAAAAACAGGACTGGGTAGTTGTAGATTTCTGCTTTTTTATTACATTTGCTAATTCTAGCTTATTTCATAATTTTAAGGGGCAATATATGTTCACAAGTCACGTCCAAATTATGCTCTGCAATTGGAAAAGGGTATAAAATTTTATTTACATTTTTGGTAGTGCCTGCACAAACTGATTGAAGGTGATGCTTTTTTTTTTTTTTTCTCATTTTTGTCCTTTTCGTTCTAACTTCTGTTCATGTTTTCATTGCTTTGGAGTCATGCTGCTCTAGATTGCTCTAAATATAATGCGGGTTTTGCAATTTTTTTTTTCCCACAAGAACAGAGAGTAGTGAACTTACAGAGACAATTACATCAGGACATTTTGTGTTTCTTACAGAAGCAAACCATAGGCTCCTCTTTTTCTTAAAATTACTTAGATAAACTGTATTCGTGAACTGCATGCTGAAAAATGCTACTATTACCCTAAATGATGCTAGCCAACATTAAAAATGTGCAAAACTAATAAAGATTACATTTTTTATTTTATTGTTTGCCCAGTTACTTTTTGTTAAAAGCATTTTATGAGAAGATGAAGGTATTTTATTCTACAAATTAGGGGAGAAAGGGAAATATACACACAAACAGGTCTATCTGAGCTGACAGTAAGAAAACTGGGGTAGAAATGGGACTGGGAGGAATGACCTCCCAGGGTCTACGAGCAGTAGGGTGTGAGCTCTGCTAGAAGGAACCAATACCAGAGCATAAGCCGGTGGCTCTACGTGGAAAAGAAGTATGGGAGCCAGAGCAATGGTGGATGGCCCTTTGAGGTACAAAAAGAAGCCCTTAAATCTATATTTCCAAAATTAAAAGTTGCCTTGTGGATATTTTGTTTGCTCCTCTAGAACCACTCTCCATGCTTCTCCATCTTGCTCTGTGGGAGGGTGATTTTGTGCATTACATCACTGGGCTCCATTACCCTCTGGCTCCCAACTGGGAAGCACCAGCAAAGAAAGCACCAGTGGGAGAGAGTGAACTTGGGTGTTTATTCCCCAGATCCTTCTTTGCTGAGTTGTCCTCAGTTGGCAGTGGTGCATTCATCAACATATATACTTTGGGTCAGACAATCGCATTCTACAACAAAAGCTACTCTGGGGTGAGGTCATCCCTCCCCTACTTGTTCCCTTACACCTGGGGCTGGACTTCCCTATTCCTGGCAGCTTTCCCCCAATCTTGCCGACACCCTTTCAAATGGCCCCTTCATGAAAACATTCTCTGTTTCATCTGTCACCTGTCCGGATGACACAGTAATTACATAGCTTCCTTAATGGGACAAATGGCGAAGATTTGCTTTAGGTCTGCTTGGAGACTCAACCTAACTGGCTATGGTAGATAAAAGTAGATAAAGGAATTGGAACTGGGGGACTACAATAAAGCCAAGCAAAGAATTCTATTCATAGAGATCATAGAAATGTTACCAGAGCGGTCCCAACAGTAAGATTGACAGTCTAAAAAACTTATCTAAATGTATGAGGAAAGAGAAGCCTTCACTTGTCATCAGGGTAGTAAAATCTCTGTTGTGAATCTAGAAGGGGGGACACGGCCCTGACGGACAAAGGAGCGGTCATGCACAGTGCTTCTCCTATCCTTCTACACTTATTGCCTCATCCCTTCATAATATCACGACAATTAATTCTGATTTATTAGTGGCTGAAAATAATTTCCAACAACACAAATAAGGATTATAGGAGAATCTCTACAGATTTTTTTTTTAATACTCCATATCCGCACCACACTTACTGGTATTTTTCAAAATACAAAAAGAGCTGGTGAAACATAATCATAAATTACCCTATTCCTTTTGGTATTATTTTGCACAATATTTGCTGTGCCAGAAAGTAATATAAGGCTCAAGGAATAATGAGTCGCATCAGTGGGACAAAGACGCTAGGTTGAAGGGGGTTCCCACTGGCCAAACCCAGGGGAATTTGAGAATCAAAATAAATAACGATAGTAGTAGATTATAACCCATTTAATAAAATAAGAATCTACAAGTATATGCTGATATAAATAAATGGAAAAAAGCAAAAATCTCTTTCTTACAGGTGAAAGTTAACTAACAAGTGTAAGAGAAATACTGGAGTTAGAAAATCACCATTTGGCAACCGTGATAATGACAACTGATTCATGCAAGAATAATGAACACTAAACTCATGAATGAAAGTTTGATGGGGAATAGGAAAATTAACATTGTCTCAAAGTATCTCTTTTTCATTAATTAAAAATTTTTAAGAAGAGTTTATAGTGGAGAAACCCAGAAGATACTACCTTCAAAGATATCATCAATTACAGGGCCAACTACACTGAAAAAGATACATCACACTATCCAGAAATAAGGAATTTAACTATAATTTAACTATAATTATATATAACTATATAATTCAATCAAATTGAAGGCATTCTGAAAAATAACTGAATTGAATTCTTCAAAATGTATGGTCATGAAAAACAAAGAAAGGTCAGGAACTGCCTGAGAACTAAACACAATCCGTGATTCTGTATTGGCTATTAGACTGGGAAAATAACATCGATTATGGATATTGTTGGGAAAACTAAGTTTGAATATGGACTGTTGATTAATTAATATATGAACGTTGATTTTTCTCATTTTATTAAGTCTAAGGCAGCTATTACATAACTGTCAGTAATGTCCTTCTTCTTGGAAAATGTACACTAAAGTATTTAGGCGTGAATGGGATGATGTCTACAACTCACTCTCAAAAGAAAATATGTTCAAAGGAAAATGAATTATGTGTATATGTGTATATTTAATATATAGATAGATATAGAAATAAACATGATATATCTTTGGGGAAGGGAGGAATTTTTTGTTCCTGTTAAGTTACTGAAGTGTGTATGTATGTGTGTTCACTCTATCACTTGATTTTTGTGTCCTAGAATTGATTATTTCTACCCTCAAAATTAGAAATCCTATCTCTAATTACTTCAAAGAATACTGTATTTTAACTACAATTCTTTTTTTCTGGAAGTCATCTTTCTAAAGTCACTTAAATGATTACATTTCTTGCCCTTTATGATAATCCTTATATTGTCAAAAAAAGAAGACTTTAAAAGACATATGTGACCTCCTGGTTAAGACATCTGTATTTGAAACTAGATAGACCTAAATTGGAACTTTATGATCTAAACTCTGGTGATTTTATCCATATCATAAAAGAAAGCAGCTTATTGGCTGTCTGAGCTGGGACAAGACATTGTAGGTATGAAGTAATAGTCCAAACACAGTTCCACAGACCAGCACACCCATGACAAGGTTTTCATATGCTTAGAGTTAAGCCAGAAAATTAAGAATAACGTCATAAATATTTATAAAGCTTAATGTACTCAATTTAAAGAATGTCATTGTAAAAATGTGACTTTTATATTATTTTCAAAGACTAAAATCATTTTTATGTTAAAATGTTTTTTTTTTAGAAATTAAGGATGAACCTGGGTGGCTCAGTCGGTTGAGCACCCAACTCTTGGTTTTGGCTCAGGTCATGATCTCAGGGTTGTGGGATTGAGCCCTGTGTCTGCGCTCTGTGCTGGGCACAGAATCTGCTTGAGATTCTCTCTCTCCCTTTCCCTCTGCCCCTCCCCCTGCCTGCTCACACTTGAGCACTCTCTCTTTCTCTTTCTCTCTCAAATAAACAAATAAACTAACAAACAAAAAACTTTAAAAAGGAAGAAATTACAGTGAGAATAGACAATAGTGGGTTATTTGTTTTAATATTTTATTTCACCACATTAAAAATTGGTGACTTTGTGTTGGTCCTCACATTTGTATTTTATTGGTACATGAATTCAAAATTCTAGGAACCATTGGGGTAGACAAATACTACTTGACCTCATAAATTTGTATATGTGTGTACCAAAAAGTTACCTTAGAACTATAGAAACTGTATTAAAGACAGCAAATATGTCCTATAATTGCATATTCTATCATGTGTGCACTGGAATTTCATATTATTATAAGAAAAGAAATGTTTCTCGATCACCATAAATTTATTAAAATATTTATAATCAAAAATATTATTGCTTCAATCAGGTGCAGCTGATAGGACTATTCTTCCTGGAACCTGGGAATATTCTTTGAGGTTATCAATGAACTGGCACTGGAGGAGGAAAATATTCCAGGCAGTCGAGTGTTGCTGGAGAAGTTGCATCACCAAGAAATGCTTACCATCACAGCTGAATAATCTGCAATGCCAAATGCATACTCAGTGTTGTTCAAGTGCTTTATCATCCCCTCAGAACACTCCTCATATTTGCGGAGAGCTCTGCCTCTTACTCACCAAGAAACACGAGGACATTGTCATGAACTTTCTCAAATTCTTTCCTCTCCAGTGAAAAATGTCTTCCTTCCCTCCCCTTCCCTTCCCTTTCCTTTTCCTTTTCTTCCTTCCATTCCCTTTTTTGCTCCTTGTCTTTGCTTTCCTTCCTTTCTCCTTCCTTCTCTCCCTGCCTCTTTTCCCTTCCTTTATCTGTCCAGAGATATTTCTCCCCATTCATTTTTACACACTCAGATAACTTGCTCCATAAGCTCTTTACCTTCTCTCATATCTTTATTCTCTCTTTTTGATTGATCCTTTCTGTCAGGCTTTGCACTTTCAAAACTGGTTCTTCCAATCTTGAAAACTAAATTTGCTCAACTCTGACGCATCTTTATGCACTGTTCCATTATCTCATTCCTTTAAAAATTTACCTTCTGAAATCAGGGTTCTGTACTCACCACCTTCACTCTTGGCTAAAATTAAATGAAATACAGGTCCCAGTCATGCTGATGAGGAAACTTGGCTGTGAATAATCTTGTTGAGGGCACCTGGCTGGCTCAGTTGGTACAGAATGTGACTCTTGATCTCAGGGTTGTAAGTTTGAACCTCATGTTGAGTGTAGAGATTACCTTAAAAAAATCTTGTTGACATAAGCACATTGAGTTTTCAAAGTGTTATGCTGACTGTTATCAATAACATTATGAGGAGAAGATGAAAATACTTACAAAAGGTAGATATAGGAACAAAGAACATTACCCACATGGAGCAAAGATGTACATACTCTATTCCTGGTTATCATGAATTACCTCTTCTCTATTTAATCTTTACTTAGAAGGGAAAGACATCCACAGAGCTATTCAACTGTTAACTGCAGCATTTTGTTTGTTTTGTTTTCTAGGAATGTAGCCTTTACTTATAAGGGATGGAGACCAAAAAGTTCTTTTTTTCCCAAAGTTATTATTTAAATTCCAGGTAGTTAACATATAGTGTAACAGTTTCAGGTGTAGAAATTAGTGATTCAACACTTACATACAACACCCAGTGCTCATCACAACAAGTGCCCTCCTTAATTCCCATCACCTATTTAACCCATCCCGCCCACCCACCCACCTCCCCTCTGGTAACCCTGTTTGTTCTCTATAGTTAAGAGTTTGTTTCTTGGTTTGCCTCTCTTTTTCCCCCCATGTCCATTTGTTTGGTTTCTTAAATTCCACA